AAAAAAAAAAAAAAATCTGCCCCCACTTAGATCCTATTTAAACATCTTTTAGAAGTGAGAGAAAAGGGCCTATACAATGGAATGATTACAAAGCATGTGGTGCCTATTAGAAGTACAGCAGAAAGGGAATTCCTTATATATGCGAGCAGTTACTGTTTGATTATGTTCATGTAATCGTTTAAAGGCTTTCTGGAAAACCTGCGGTGTAGCTAGCCGGAAAAAAAAGTACGCCTGCATGCTGGGAACGGATGAGAGGAGACTTCCTTTTTCATGTTACACACTAGTGCATGACACCCCCACGTAGGATCATTTCAAGGAACTGATGGATTCCTCCGTTTGTGGCTTGATTAGATTGTAAAGCGATGAGCTCAAGAAGGACTTAGACTCGAGGGGTAGGACAAAAGGACCTCGTTACGTGATCGAACCCATTTGGACGTGGGAGCGCCTCTGCTCTCGACCCGTGGACGCAGGGCGGAAGCCTTGTGGGGGGGGGGCCCCCTTCTGTCCTCTTGTTTCCACAGTCGCTGCTACCTAAATGAGAAGATGCTTTATTTTGCCAGTGGCACCCAGGTGGTTAGCTGGCTTCCAGGTTCCCAGTTTTTGATACCCTGCTTCTTCAAACGTGGTTCTCTGCAGACGCCACCATATTTGTCTCTCGTGGGTAACTAGCAATGGGCCAGAACCAAAATCCACATGGAACGGAGCTCCCTTGTGTTTTTGAGAGGGCTGTGTGACCTTGGCATCCCCTAATTAGGAAAATCCAACTTTTGGTGCTGATTGACATGTCTGGTCCACAGTTAAAGCGTTGTTATAAACCATTCCATTCGAAAAGCACTTTGAAAATTTGTTCCCAAGGGATAGATGGGATGGTTTATGCAAATCATGTTGAATCAACCCCTCCCCTCTCCTTCTCTTTTCCCCTCCTGCTCCCAGTCTGGGTTTCGGTTAACTTCTGGTATCTGACATTCTCCAGTACATCATTCTGGCATCCCTGCCAGGACACAAGAGACACCCCTTTCCCACTGACGTTCCCATCCCAACATTCCTTGCAAAAGCCTGATGCAAACAAAGACCTTGTTAGCATTCTGACATAGAAGAGTCTTAATCCCACCTCTCTACTTCTTTGGGCATGGCAAGAAAACTTGGTGCTGGTGCAGAAGAGGAGACAGGTGAACACCAGCGTGTAGCATCTTGTTCCCTTTTCCATTTGTCTTGTTATTTTATTGAAAAGTTGTATTTAGCGTACTTGAAGTTTTGGGGTTTTTTCCTTTTCTTCGTTTCTTTTCCCCCAATGGCATTTGACAGGTTATGAAGCTATTTGTTAAAATGTTTGCCTTTAGACAGTAAAAACCAGAACAGGGCAAGTTGGAAGAACGATCCACAGGCTGCCAGTTTCCTAGTGTAAGGGTGTTGATGGAGAAACAGCTAAGGGTCTCTTAGTACTTCAGTTTATTCAATTGGGTTAGGTTTTTTTTTTCTTCCTATCTTTTTTTTTTTTTTTTTGCGCTGCTACCAAGCTGAGAGTCATCCTTATTCACAGTAACAGTGCCCAGCTGCAATGTTCAGAGTGTGCTGCTATTTTATAAACATTTTTTATAATATATTATTTTACCGCCTAAATTCCCGGTTCTGAAGTAGATGGGTTGAGATAGGAGCTCTTCGTACTGGAGAAGCCCTCCCGTAGTTCATTTTCTTCAGCTAGTGTGCTCGTGTGCACTGGTGGTGTTGTTGTTGTTGCTCCTTTCTTTTCCTGATCACACTCTTCAAAGACGAGTACTCTTTACCTCAGGTTTACTGGACAAAATCAATAACTACAAAAGGAAGTGATTCACATTTTTGTTTGCATAATACCTCACAACCGACAGTTTCTGCACGGGAGCCCCTGAGTGTGGGGAATAGCGAAAGATGGCGAACAGGAGGCCAAACTCCTGTGGACAGCAAGGTGCGTCTGGGCCCCGGGTCTCACACCCAGGGACCTTTTCAAGCAGGAAGGCCATCAGGCTCCCATTTCTGACTCCGGTTTCCTTCTCATGGTGGGAAAAAATGTATTGAACCAAGAGATTCCCTCTCTCCTCACCCTCCCCGGCCGACTTTCAGCACAGACGTTCATGCAATGGATTTAGGAGGTCATGATTTGCACATATGGACCAGGTATCAGGACACAGACTTTTAAATATGACAGCAGACTCTTGGAAGACCCTCTGCTCACAGGCCTTCCATCTGTGTAGAGCCCTGTCATCTTGAAACCTTCCCCTCTCTTTCCCCTTCTCTAAGATGGACACCCCTGGTTTAGGATAGTCTCCGTTGTTCTCTGTCTCAATCTGGGTGTGTGAACCTAACATGCAGGCTTTGTGCTAATGCCTTCTGTCACCTCTGAGAGGACAGCGAGCACTAGGCAGGTCCAGGTCCTCTTGTTAAGTGACATTCAATGGTTTCCAGTGACGGTGAATTGGCAGGACAGGAAGAACACACCAGTCCAGTGAGATGTGGATAGACGTTGAGAGAGGTGGAGAGATTGCTTCTCAGTAAAGATGTCTTCTGGGTGAGCCAAATCCCTCTTGAAGGGTGTTTAGACATGTAGGGTTCAGGACCTGGAATTCTGGGGAGTTTCCGGTTGAACAGTGGGCACTGAATTCTAAAACTTGGGAGAGGTAAGCTGAGCAGCCAGTGAGCTAGTTTTGATTTTTTTTTTTTTTTTAAATCAAGAGCCCACTTTGCACAGGATAATCGATGGGTACCAAGAAACCCATAGAACAGGTCAGTGGGGTTCTTGGGCATCTTAGACACCTACAGAGAAAAAGAAGGTGCAAATACAGTGGAACAGTGGCTGGCCCCTAAACTCAAGCAGAAACAAGTGAAATAAAACGCCTGACCAATAAAGGCAAGCCGACTCTACTTCTGGATTTGAACCTGCTCTCCCTCCCCTCCTTTCTCTCCTCCCGCTTGCCAGGCTCCAAATCTATTATAATATTTTTCTATTTTGTTGTCTTTCTAGTATTTCTCTTCTCTACTTTTTGATGATTTTTGTTTGTTTTTCTCCATCAGTGGGGGGGCCGAGTTATTCCCCTAGCCTGACAAATTTCACCCCTTCCCCTATTTTGGCCAAATCCTAGGGGGTGGGGAGCGGAGATCCTAGAATGCCAAAAATAGACACCAAGCTCAAAATCCACACAGGTTCATAACAGCTGCGGCGCCTGCAGGTGGGAGTTAGGGACCCTTCCCTCAGCAGAAGGTCCCTCATTTGCCTGAAATTCAAGCTCCTTAAAAGAAGGAGCTGCTCTTAGAGGAAGCTTTATTCTGAAACTGCCCCAGGCCCCCATTGAAGAACCACATCAGGTCTCAGAGCCGGGCCACCCTAGGTCTGTCTACAGGCTTTATATACAAGAGGCTTTGTGTCCCGGTCCCTGTCATCAGCTGGGTCTGGAGCCTGTGTGGCTCACAGGCTGTGACCTCCAGCGGGCACTCGGGACAAAGCCAGAGGGAGAGACAGTCCAGTATGCCTCACACTGCCTCCCTTTGCTAGCAAGGTGGTTTGCTCCGCAGAGGAAGGTGGGTGCAGAGCCTTGAGAGCCTCCTTCGTTGCCCTAGGGGCCTCCAGGACAAACTAAGGTCCGTTAGGCTGGATTGCATGACTTTCTTGAAGAGGGGAGTGGCATTTTTTCTCTCCCTGGGCCACAGTAGTGGGGTGGGGGGCAGAGCTGGGGAAAGAAATAGACATTGCACCTTATAACCTGTAAATAAAGACTGACTTACTAGTTGAAGAAGACGATATTGGTAGTGTGGGCATGGGGATAGAGGAATGGGGAGGAAGTTGAGAGTACAGCCAATTGGCTTCTAAGCCAAAAGGATTCCTCTTTGTTTATCTTTGAGTCAGTCCAACCCTGAGGATAGCTTTAAAAGGGAAATTTAGCGCTGAGAGGGTGAATTCAGTCCCCCTTGAGCCTGCATGCTCCCGGTAGCTATAGAATGCACCGCGGGCCCGTCCGGCGTGGACTTGAAGTGGATGTCAAGAGCTGCACGGGCAGCCTGCCTTTTGTACAAAACAGGATAGGAGGGCTCCAGGGCATGTTTATGACTCCCCTGTGCCACGGGCCCTGTAATGATTCTGGATTCTAAACAACCCAGAGGAGTCGCTTCAGCCAGAAACGCCGCTCCTGCCTTCCTGTGTTTCTCCCTTTCTGCTGGGCTGTGCTTTCAGGCTGGTTCTTGGCTCGGTTTGAAGGAAGCCATCGACATGGACATGCACCCATGCCGTCGTCCCAGCCTGACTCCTTTGCCTGCCAGTCGCCTGGAGGGGAAAGTGCCTTACTGACAATAGCGTGACCGTCCCCAGTGTCCTTCGACAGGTGCCTGTCCTTCACGTAAGGAGTGCCTCTTGTTGTGCATTGTCTGCATTTTGCGATTGGTCACCTCTTAAATCCCCAGCGAATCACCGGGCCATTGGATTTTTTCCCATTATGTTCATTATCCTTTTTATCATGGACCTCCCTCCCTCCCTCTCTCTCCTTCTCATTTACAGATATTAGTTTTGAGCATTATTACTTTTTACCTTTTTTGTCCCCCTTCGCTTTAGACAAGTGTGATGCCGCACTGAGTCGATGTTACTCTCTCACAACGTACTCTTTGATGAGGTGTGGCTGTTGGGTCGGTCGGGATGTTAGAAAGTGCTTGCAGTAGCATGATGAGTATAAACAAAAGGTTTTTAGGAAGTGGGGGGGGGGGTTTGATTGGCTCTGGTTGTGACGCGGTAGCTCCCTCTTGAAGAGGTTCTATCTGTTCAGTGTTAAAAGCGGTTTTAAAAAATAGTGACCTCTTCTTTTG